AAAACAGTCGCTTCTGTGAAAAGTCTGTTTACTTCCCATTGTGAGGTTTGTGGCTGGGTTTTGCCTCATATTATGATCTCTAGGAGAAACCTCTGACTCGAAAAACTGGGGCTCATGAATTATTGTGTGCATTTGAAGAAATGTCAGCCTTGTTGCTTTATGAAACAGGCCAAGAACTCATATAGAGAGACAGACAGCTAAACGGATAAACAGATAGACAGATATGCAGAGCCCAGGTTTAACTGTTTGATTTGACAAAAAGCCCTGGAAGAAAATACAAGTAATGCATGCCTTGTCTTGTTCTTAAACTGATCAGTGGTTGTGGGGAATAAATTTAATTTCATTTTCTCAAGAATTAAATTCAGGCTCCTCTGATTAAAGACTCCCAGCAGTTTAAGCTGGATGTATCCACAGCCCTATTTGTGATACTGTCATCAAGCTGTCAGCTGCCTCACTTCATACCAGGTTTATTCCAGTGCATGACACACAATCACAAGAGAAGTGATTAATTCCCATTTGAGATTGTAGGTACAGTGAACATGAATGATGTTACCACGAATAAGATCAACTTTCTGTCTCCCAAAGACTCCAGCAAGCCAGCCAGCCTTGAAGCATTTTGGTGGGTAAAGGCTCAGTTTTTAGCACCAGAAAAAACAGGCAGTGATTTCACCTTTAGAATATGAGCCGTGCAATTGTCCCAGACCTTCTTACATCCAATTTCTTCTGTCATGAGGCCAAATCAAATGTGTTTTTGAAGCAGAGGAAGAGAATTGAGTTCCTCTTGTCTGATCTGGTTCTCATTGTACTGAGCAGATTTTCCTCAGGCACTATAATTTCCATATTTACCTGTCTCTTGTTACGGGTTCACAGTGGATTATTGCAATGGAAATATAAGTATTCCAGAAAAGTGACAGCTTCACAAAGGATGTGACAGTCAGGCAATGTTTTAGGCTGACATATGACATTACTTAGATTACATATTTACAATAATTTTGACTTAATGTTTTTCCAGCATCAGTATGAAGCAGGATGTATAATTGTGTGCAAGACTTTGGGCAGCTCCAATATTATTCATTTGTTAAAAGTGTCATTCCTTAAAAAAACCCCAACAAATTCTTTGCAGTCTGACTTGGTTATAAGACTTCAAACTTATTTTGAAAACTTCTCAAACTGGTTTTTATTTTTCTAAATATTAGGCTGGAAACATAATCTAGGCACTAAAAGCAACCTAGTGCATGGCAGTGAAAGCAGAATTATTCTGTTGAGATAATGAGGTTAATTTGTCAGAAATGATAGCACAGGGAAACAGGAAGAAACCTTTGGATATCCTTGGACAATAGTCTATGAAGAAATAAATACTTAGTTCCATAAAAATTTTGAGAAAGGATGATTAATGTAACAACTTACATTCCTTAATTTATCAGTTTTAAGTGTGGTTGACTTTACTCTTCCTTCTCACCAGAAACATGAAGTCTCTGATGCACAGTTAAGACACAGAGGCAAGTCCTTGTTATTTTTCAAGAATTATTCATCCTTTGTCCCTGTTTTCCCCATTTCAACTTCCTAGTCAACTTCAAGTTTTTCTTTTTACTTGTTTTAACTTATATTAGAAGGCAAAGAAGATTTTAAAAAATTAATCCCTTATTAAGGGCCTCTTTCAAGCAGAGTAATGGGGAGTTGGCATTCTTTCTATAGCACATCTCAGTAGCACTGACAATTTTTCAATACAGAGGAAAATTGAGGAAATGAGTGAATCTCAGTCAAAAATAAAAATAAGAATTAATAAATACTAAAAAAATACATCAGAAATCTGGAATCTCTGTACCTTCTTTTTTGCCAAGCCTTGATTTATAATGCAAGATGTGACATATGATAAAGGCAACTATATCTATATAAAATATAGATATATAACTATCTCTTGACCTATCTATAGATACGACACATGAGATCATAGGTTGCTTCTTGGCTGTTATCTAAAAAAGGCAAGCTGAAGCTGGACCAAAAGGATATTAATCATTCATGGTCAGGCCCAGATCAGTATGCCGTGAAACACTTTCATCTTTTCCATAAAAATAATGTTCAGGTATCTTCTAGCCTGTTTGACATCTGCAAAATCTCCTAAGATAATAGCAAGGATTAGTCTTTGTCTATTTTGATTTAAACTCATGATGTACAATATGATAATACTATCCACTGACAACACTGAATGAAATATTTGCTTATTAATTATGAATGAAAACATGATACCTGTGAAGTCACTAGTAAAATGCCAAAAGCCCAAGATGAAAGTGCAGGAATAAGTGCTAATGCTTGGGATGGAGGTCTTGATCCATGGGTCTGTAACTCAGATGAGGAATTCAAAAATTGCCATATGGCTGAAAGATATGGGAAGAAATTTAAAATTATAAAATTAAAATTTTCTGCTTTTCATCTACAAATATTAACCCGGAAAAAAAAACACAAACAAACAAACAAACAAAACAAACCCTTAAAGATCTGTATATTTAGTATTTAGTGTCTGATGGTTCTATTTAAGCCATTTGGCATCAGAGCCACTCATTGTGCCTAAAAATCAAATTCATGGCACTAATGATTTTCAAACTATTTGGTAGACCCACCTATTGCCTCTTAACATAAATAATAAGTATTTTCTCTGCCATTTAACAGATGGAAAAATTGAAATATAAAGGAGACCAGATCTGGACAGAAATCTTTGTAAGTGCAAAGTAAAAGAAAAATGTGAAGCACAACTATTCTCTCCTGTTAAAAAATATAGCTGTTTGAAAAATTGTGTCATATGTTTCGCTTGGTTCTTAACATTATGTCACATCAAAAGGAGTGAATGCATTAGCCTGGCTCAGATATATCATTAGAGTTGTGAAGGTTTACCTCACTTTTGCCAGTTTTAAGCACTAGCTGGACACACAGAGAAACATTCCATTTCCCAACAGAATGAACATCTCTTTCACTGAGACTGAGATTTCAATTGTGTTGCAATTTACACTGATTATTCTCAATAGAGATGAATATTTCTTGTCTAGACTAGCAGTTTAGTGTCTTGCTTCAAACAGCACTTGGCTTTGGCCTCTTCAAATACACTTTCTTCTCCTCTCCATTAGCCTCTTGGACAGTTGGTCTTGGCATGTTCCCTCTCACCAGGTGTGACCCTGACGGCTCCCCAGTGCCCATTACTTCAAACATAACTCCCACTTTCAAGGACTTCACATTTTCATGTTACCTCATCATACCTGCCTGGGGGAGGATGCTTTCCCTACAGTATCCTACAACTTCCATGGAGCATCCACCTGATGGCTTCATCATGACAGCTCACCCCAGCACGTTCTTCTTTGAAACTCTCCTTTGCTGAGAATCCAAGGAATTAGCCTTTGGGCTGCTGGGGTGGTAGAGCTGGCAAGAACAGCACTGGTTTATGTTGTGGTCCAACTTTTTACTCTGCTCTGTACATTGCCAAGCAGCCCAGGGACCTAGACCATGCCTAAGGACTCCAAATCCTTCAGTAATAAAAACACGAAGAATTATTTAGAGTAAGCTTCACCCAGCAAAAAATAAAGGTGCTGAAGCGGCCAGGTGGAAGGAAGGCATGAAACCGTGAGATTTTTAGGTCTCGGCACATCATTCCAAAATGTCTTTCTTTAATGGTTTACCCCATGTGATATACTACCCCTTAGAGAAGAACCTTGTCCATTACGAAAGGATTTCATCACACTTTTTAAATGAACTTTTAAGAAATTTTTTTTGTCGAAAATTTTAAAATATCTCAATATGGGCAAATCCTGACCACAGTGCCCTCTTATTTATTCAGATTTTTACAACTGTGCTGTTAGAAAAGATCTCTGTTGGTAATACATCTTGATTTCAAAGCTCCTTTTGCAGGAAAATAAATCCAAAAGTATGCGAAAAAAAGCCATATTTTCTAGAGTTAATAGAGAATGTTCTTTGACTAAAATTAGTTTTTTGCTGCTCTGTCACTACTCCCTTATATATATGCCTCATGGCACCTATTGTCATACTAATATGGTCATTCAACATTTCATTGCTTAATTGTAATTTTTTTAATAAGATCATTTATTTTTATTATTGATCATCCAAGTAGAATTTATAGCTTGTATTTCTCTCACCATCCCCAAACACACTTACCCCCAAAGGTAAAAAAATCTTGAAATGAATATAAAAATTGAATTACTTCCATATGTTTTTATTCTGTTCCAGCTCTTTTCCTACTGTTCTACAATTAAATTCTACACGGAATATATTATTGAAGGAATAAATCTTACAGTGTTTAATCTGATGAGATTCACAGAAATAAATCACTAAGGAAATGGTGAAACATCTTCCAATGAATGCATAAAGGAAAAGATAACTCCTCAGATGAATGGGTAGCTCCATAGAAATGTTTTACTTACTTTAACATGAAAAAATTAATTTTTATGTCATAGAGCTGACTCTGCCTGTTTGGGTGCCGGCACATGGGCTGTGGCTGTTGCTCAAGGGAGCTGAAAAACGGGAGGTAAAAGAAATATCTGAGCTTATGGTGTGCTCACAGTGGCAGCAGCACTGACAAGGCACTCTCAGGGCTGAGAGAGTGGCATCGATAATGGGAACACACAAAGATAACGTGTGACTTCCTTAGGCCCCTGTCCAGAAAGGCTCTTAAGCACCATTAACCTGCAGACACCTGAGTGATGTTATTGAAATCAGTGGATTTTCCATCAAGTTTGTACAGAGCAGTACTGAGTTTGCACTGAAATCCTCATAACTTTGAGGCTTCCAGCAGGCAAACGGCAAAGCAGATGATCAGTAAAGGTGGAAAAAGGAATGTTGGAGCAGCTCAACAGCTGCAGAGAGAGGATAACATTCCCATTCCTGCCCTTCTGCAGGACTGGAGGACCAGGGGGAAAATAAGTAGGCTGTTATATTTCTAAAACAGATGCAAAACCATTAGAGTGGTGCTATAAAATCAAAACCAGCAACTGAAGTACCTGCATTTAAGAAGAGGGATGAGTGAGGACAGAGGTTCAGGAAATCACTTCTGACCTTGGTCTATTAGTCTGACTTTGATTCATTACTCTGAAAGAGTAATTATAGGCATGAAGGTAGATGACAAAAAGAAGAAAAAGCAACAGTACTGTACAGAAAGAAGTATGCAGATGGATGAAACAAAATAATCTTCATTATGTTGACTGTCTGACAGAAATACAGTAACTTACCTGCATCTGAATTTCATGGAGCATTTGATGTGATTCTACATGACAATTTATAAATGGGGGCTAGTTGAAAAATAAAAGGAGTACAAAGAATAGCAAAAATGAAGTGTCTAAGGGGAAGTAGCACATGAGGGGAAATGTTGAAAATTAATATTTGCCAAGGACTGTTTCCATGATGACCTGGTTATACTGTGGCTTTCCTTAACCTCCATTTACACAGTAATATGAGTCTGAGATTTGCTATTTGCAAAAAGGTGAGAGGCATCACCAATACTGATAATAATCATTGACTGCACAGCCCTGAGGAATGACAGAGTAGATTTGGGGGAGTGAAGTGCAAGTTCAAGCACATGGTGTTCAACAGCACACATTCCTTTTGTAAAATGGATCTTATCATTTGGAAATGGCAAAGGTGGTAAAGGTCTGGGAACAGTAGCTCAAGGAAGGTCTGCAGATCATGGGATGACTATGAACATCAATATCAGCCATGAAAGTGTCAATGTGGAACAGAGAAACACAAGCAGTATGTCCTCTTCAACACAAGCTGACAGCAAAAGTGAGTTTTCACAGGAGATTGTAAAGAAAAAAATATTGGAGTGACTGGAAGGATGAAGAAGTCATCTAAAAATGGGAGAAATGCAGGTAAATTCAGATTGAAAGAGAATGTGATTATTGTCTACAGAAAAAGGTGAACACAAACCCTTACTAACATTAAAAAAACATGCAGGTAAATAAAAAAAAATATCTAACTATATTTATTCTGGAAATTAATAAAAAAAACCAAAATCCACCTAAAGATCAAAACAGCAAGACACAGTCTTCCCATTTGAGTAAAAGTAAACAAGTTCTACTTTTTAAAGGACTTTTTGAGCTGCTTATATAAAGGATTATATCATGGGGTTGTGTGGATTTAGGGATTTAAGAATTCAGTGTTAGTCTTGTGTGTCTTAAGAAAGTACTGTGAGATAGACTGAGATAGACATGCTACAATCCACCTGCTTATCAGACCACTGGGTTTGTTGCAATATTTAAAGGCCTTGTGGTTTTTCAGGACGATGTCACTGCAGGAGGAACATCCTAGGAAAGTGCAAAACAAACTACTATCTGGAAAATGTCAAGAAATGTTTGTTTAATTTTTCAAAAGTGAAGGAAGCAAAGAAAGACATTTTACCTATGAATATCAAATTATTCAGTTGTCTTCTGGCACAAACCTGTAGGGGTTTTCTTTAGAAAGGAGTTTGTTACTGCAACAAAAGGAAAATTTGCATCAGGTTTTTGTGTGTGTGTGTGTTTTAGGAGTTTTCTGTTTGTGCATGACTAGATTGAAGAGGCAAATCAAAAAGTAGATATTATCTATAATAAAATGTTTCAGGAATAAGAATGAAACATTTCACAACTTTTATTTCAGTAGCAATATAATCATGACTTCCATTACACATGTTTTCAATTATTAGCACAATTAATATGAAATATTAATTGAAGATCCATGTAGGCATAAGAACCTGCTTCACACTCTGCAGGGTAGACACGATCAGCAACTGGAATGCTCGTAGGCTTGGTTTTTGCATTTTTATTTCTATAATTGCAGGTTTACACAAGTTACAGGACATCCATTTATACACACAACATGACGTTGCCAAGCAATTTAGAGCTGAGAGGCGGCTGCCTGGGCCATGATTAGATGGGCAGTGCTTTGGAAATGTCACGGATGGATTTGTGTGAGCTTCACTGAAATAAAACTGAATGAATAATTCTCACCGATCGTTTTAACAACTTTGAGTAAAACAGGCTTTACAAAATGTAGATGTATCAGTTACAGAGGAGTCAGTAGGTCATTCTCACAGATGATTCAAGGCCAAGCATCAGCACCTGGGGAGCCTGAACAGAGCAGGCTTTTCTAGGGCAGGTGATTACCTGCCATTACTGGGTGATAAAAAGTGGAATTGCTCTCATTTTTTACCTGTTCATGTACTCTGAGTTTACAGACATGAATAATTCCATCTCTATTTTACCACTTTGTAGAAGAATTGGTGATAATCACATTGTCATTAAGGAAATTAATAAGTTATTATTTATTTCTGTTTAGCTGACCCAGTGAAGAATGGTGCCCATACTACTATTTTGGACGGAATTATTTCAGATGTTTATTTCTCTGTTGTTTTGGTTTTTTTTTACTTTTAATAAGCATCAGTAAAACCTCTCATTCTGGCAGATTTGCTCTCTAAATACCCTGTGATTCTGGTTGTGTTTACTAAAGAAGGAGGCAAGAAGGAGACCTAAAACTGTATTTTTTTTCCAATAAAACAACTCATCCTCACATTATAAAGTCTGCTGTTGCAAAATATGTTGTCCAGAATTTTGTGGATTGAAATTTATTGTCTCAGCAAGAAACACTTCAACACTGAAACTTGTGCAATAGTGTTAGTATCAATAATGAGAAAATAAGTAAGCAAATACCACTACATCAATAAAGGAAGAACCAAAGTCAAATACATGCTTCCTATTCATCCTGCACACAGAAAATAAATACACAAGTTTAAAACAAATAGTTTCATAGTAATTTTGAACTGATATAAAAAGTCAGAACTGGTAGTATTTAGGGATAAAAAGAATTATGTATTTGAAGTTTTAGTATTGTAGATTATTGCAGAACAAAGAGCTCAGATGAATTCCAAATCTGACATATTTTCCCTTTATATCTGGTGGTTTGATAGATTATATCATATGTTAAACTTTATAGAAAGAGATGGAATGAAAAATAAAGAAAACATATTCTAAAATCTAATATAGCAAGCCTAAAGAATTTTTATGATTTCAATATTAAATTTCCTTTTCGATGAAAGTGTCTTGGACCTCTGGGAAATTAAAAAGTCATATTTCTGAGGGATTTGTGATGCTTTCTGACATTTAGACTGATAGAGCGCATAAGACAATGTTTTAGAAGTAGATAATCAACCATTGACTTCAAATGAGACTCCAACCTCAGACTTGTTTTTATTCACAGATTTTCTGGGCTGTAGAAGCAGTATTTTCATCAGTGGGCAATTCTTGCAGGGTTAGTATTTTCAGCCTTGAGCTCACTTGCTTCTCACATTGTACAATTCTACGGTTCCTCTTTGTCCAGTTACCTGTTGACATTAAACACCTCTTTGGGCCGAGTCTTACTGAAGAATGAGTAAGGACTTCATTGGAACATTCCTTGGAGGATTTGTTGCTACATATATCTTTGGATGGAGCAACCTCCTTGTCGACACCGAGTTACACTGGACATTTTGCCCCACCTTGTCAATTGCAGATCTTTAATGTTTTACTGTTTTCAAATTTCTCTATTTTATCAGCTAATATTAATCTTGGATCAATAAAAGGGATAGTTTACCCCAGTGGTTTTCTCCTGATCACTGATCTTTTGTTCACAAACACAGAACTTTTTCAGTTTCTGGAAATACAATGAGCAATTGCTCAGTTTATCATTAAGAACTGAGGTTATTTGGTTCCTGAGTTAACAAAGCAACTAAACATGTACTTTAGACTTCATTGACTGAGGGAAAACAAAGTGACTATTATATTTGGTTGAACAGTGAAGTTTTAACATGTCAGTGTTCATTTGGCATAGAGCTTTGGTTATGCTTTGGCACACCACAGCAATGCCATCTATGGCAGCATTTTTGGAAATAAAGCTTTCATGCATGTGTTTTTGCCATAAGTGATGGGGATTAAAAACACTGTGGGAAATTCACTAATCCTCACATACAGGCTGTGTCTTAATTGTCAGCCAAATTTGAATGAAATAAGTCTCCTATAGAATTTTTTCTATAAAGAGTCTTTATCTGCCTTGCACTTGAGGGGTCTAACACCACAGTTTCACAATCTGGACTATGCGAAGAACAAGACGATAATGGAAAAAATTAGCACCTGGTTTAGTAAATTATTACCACTAATGAATATGCAAGTACAGCTTTTCTGATTTTTGAAAAAGACCTTTCACATCACCTGAGATAAAAGGGTCAAATCTCGCAGTGAAAATTCTATTTTAATTTTGCTGCCAATAATTGAAAAGGCAACTGAATATCCAGATTCAGTGAAACATGAAAATAGTCCGTTAATGAGTAGTTTTTTTAGCTGTGTGTCTATAGTAAATAGCTTGGAATAGTGATAATTATAATTTGCACTTGTATTAAATTTTCCATTTGAAGAGTTCAATGTCCTTTACAAACATTCTAATAATTTTTTTTTTTAGGGACTGGCTAATCTTCACAACACCCAGTGCAACAGGTAGGATGGAGGAAGCAGCTGGAGAACATCTGGAGAACAGAATATTTAAAAAAATATCCCAAAATAAGAATGGCTTTGAGTGGGGATTTTGACTTTCTTTTCCAGTAGATAATTAACAGTGGAAGCAAAAATTGAAAGGTCCAAGTGGAAGTTGATTTGTTGATAACTGTGTACCTGATGGCCTTTGAACCTTAAAATCTAGCCAAAATCAAAATAATTCAGTAGATATTTTCTTCAGCAAAGTCAGTAAGTAACTTGCCAATATAAAAGACTGGGAGAATTTGATCAGTAGTTATTATTTCCAAACCTCTCTCCGACAGAATTTTTATGAAGATTGAAGTCTGGAAAAAAAAGCCTTTCTTGAAGCATGTTAAATAGCATCTGACCAAAATAGAAGCTGACTAATCTAACAGATTCATTAATGAAGGATCACTAATTGCACTCATTTCACATTAATTACTATAAGATATATGGTCTAATGACCTTTGATTACTAAGTCTTTTTGGAGGAGGCTGAAACCTTATTAACTTTCCTCCTCCTTCCCATACAAATGATATGAAATTCTTGAATCCTACCATCTTTTACAAAGTGTATTTTAGTTCCTTCTTGTTTGTTCTCTTCAGCTAAGTACCCACAGTCTTAAAGGACACTCTCATTCTTTTTCTGTGTCTTCTCAAACCTTCCTGAGAAGACATTTTTTTTCCACCTGCTTTTTCTACATGTCAGAGGAATTATCCGAAGTTGATAATGAAAACATTTATGAGTGTTTCTTTTCATAACTTTGTCATCTACTATGTTCATTGTAGTGTGCCTCAACAAATCCATCATGCTTTCTGTATAATTTTCTTTTTCTCCTGCCAGTGCCTGCCTATACTCTTCTCTCATCAGTCAAAACTGCCTTGAATATTATATATCAAGTTCCTCTTTTAAATTTTACCTTTTCCTACACACAGATCTTGTATTTGTAGCTGATTTTTACATTGTTGAGAGCCAGAAAAAAACTATAGACTAGTTTAGTTATTAATTCAGTACAGATCTAAAAGTGAATCACTAAATATTGTGTTTTTAGTGGCATGAAGCCTGACGTCTTCAGGCTGATTAAGTCTTAAATCTTTTTGCTTCTTATCATCTCTTGACTGCTGTGGCTTGACTAACTATTGAGATCAATCAGCTCCAAAATTATTTTCACCTTCCCTGCCTAGTCTGACATATCTGCATGGCTCAGGCAGCCACCTGCTATGTTTGGGGTATTTAATTTAGATGATGCCTTAATCACTCTCTTATTCTCTGACAGCAAGGAGCTCAGTTACTCCAAACTCCAGTTATGATTTGTTATACCAGAATCTCTTGTTAAGGAAAGGGGTCTTAAAACACACCACCCATAACCACCACGGGAGCAGGATCTCTGTGAAGGTCTGAGCAGGCAGAGCCATTTGGTGGCATAATTTGCAAACCTTTGGTGAGATCTGCCCGTGGTGCAGGAGCAGTGAAAGCTTTTGCTGTGAAGTCTTGGGACACCCACCTGCTGCAGAGAGCAGAACGTGTCTAGTGGTAGTGGGGTCAACTTTGGACTTTACTCTCACTGGGGTTTATGTCCTTTCTGTGGCACCTGGTGCCTAAGCCTGCATTAAAAACCTCAGTCTGTATTTGTTTCATTGATATATATACTTGTACAACAACAACATAAAGCTACAGTGCTGAAGTTCGTAGAAACATGACACATAACAACACAGTAGAGAGGATAAAAACATCAATGCCTTTATCCACAAATGCAGAGGGCTGTCATTACTTTTCAGACTCTAGTGATTAAAAAAACCCTTCCTTCAGTTCCAGCTGTGACCTTTCCACATGTTTAGTATCCATTTTAATGGTGTAGTAAAGTAAAAGGTAACCCACTCTTTCAGCAGAAATTAAATTTTACAGTTGTTTTATTATGGTTGGTTTAGCTGGAGAAGGTCTCTCTTGAACATTTTAAAATACTCTGCAAATAGTCCCAATACACAGCTCAGATAAACAAAGCATACTCATTCCTGAAAGGAAAAGCAAATGCAAGGATTGCTTCTGCCAACATTATCCCAACTGTACTGCAAAGGCTGCTCCACTCTGAGGTTACTGCTGAGGATGTTACAGAAGGGAGGCATGAGAGAGGGATTATGCTTCTATTGTTAGCAAGCAGCATTTCCAGGTACTAATAAAAATAATTTATCTTTTTTTGTTCTCAGCAATTGCCAGATGAGATGAACATCTCGTCTTTATGAGGGCTCACTAGGAGTGCTGCCTTACGATCTTGCCCAAGGCTGTTTCAATGCCATATAAATAACTGTGTAACACAAGGTATTCAACACAAAATTGCAAGTAATGGGATCTTTATAAATCCAGTTCATTTTACGTTTAAAAGACTTAGTGTAAGAAATTAAGTTTCTTAAAAAACAGACACTGGCCCAGCAGTTTGGCTGATCAGGACAAATGACAGGAAACCCCATTTCAGCTGTCTAATTAGGGGCTCAGACCTGGAGGCTGAGGTAAAATTTAACTCCTGTAATGCCCAAAAACTGGTATACTGTTGGTGCTATTACACGTCAGAAAACACAGTGGGGAACTGTGAAATACTACCAAAAACAAGCCCTCAAAATTCAGAAATCTTGCTTCTAAAATCACTTTTTATGTGATCATGACACATCCCTGGAAGAGCTCAAGGCGAGGCTGGATGGGGCTTTGAGCAACCTGATCTAGTGGAAGGTGTCCCTGCCCACAGCAGCAGGGTTGGAACAAGATGACCTTTAAGGTCTTTTCCAACTCAAACCATTCTACAACTCTATAATTCTAGAATATTTTCTGCCGTCCTGCTAGAATTGAAGAGCTAGGTATTTCAGACCAGCCACCTGCCCTGCTTGGCTACCTACCCCCACAAGGGTTTTTGTAGAGATATTTCAAGAAAAAGATTACCACTTCTAAAATTTTGCTCTTAAAGTGTATGAGAAAGTTGTGAAAATTCTTAGCTCCTTTGCAAGACAGTATATTTGCAATGTATGAATGAAATATAGGTCCATTAAAAAAATGCCATCTTCAGAAAATTAAAAAAAAAAAAAAAGGTGACAATTCCTTACAAACTACAGTGGTGAGAAAGATTGTTGCTGATTTCTGCTTAAGAAAGACTGAAGCAGCTTTGCCAGGTTTCTCCATGTGGCTGTAGTTTACCACTGCTTGTGCCTTTGACACTGCTTTAAATCTGCAAAAGTCCTGAGATGGCTGAACTGGCGAAACGAATCCTTGATCTTATGCATGTGCACACCTCAAGTATCCCTTAGATGACAATCTGAGGACAAGGATGGCCTCTTTAATACACATCTGCTCCTACTCACTGGAAATGCTTACTAAACTCAGTTCAAATGAGTTTGTTTGTTAGTAAAGATCAAAAGAGACATTTGCAGAGACAGCCAGGCCATAATCCTGTCACTGTTGTTAATGCAGTTCCCACCTAGAGCTCAATCTTTCTGCAGCCACACTCTGCTCCAGGAACGAGAACCATAAAAGAGAGAAAACCAGGTCAGAAAAGCTGAAAAGGAGAACAGTGAGAAAGCAAAGAGCCACCAGGAATAAGTCCCTCTAGAAAACCACAGGAATGAGTGTAAAATGATGTTTGTACCTGTACTCACTACATAAACATAGCAGGATTTCTTGCTCTGAACTTGATCTCTCTAAAAAAAACTGTGTGGAGTTTCACAGTGAGCTCACCAAGTTCTTACACTTGGCCATGGTGAAGCAGGAGCTGGGCATTTCACTGGAGTGATTACACACAAATTTCAAGGGTTACAAATGCTGTGGAAATTGTTTCTCTAAAGGATATCCCTACAAAAAAAAATTAATCAGAAGCAAACCGTTAGGACTTGCGAGAGTTTAAAGTCTCTATTTTTCATGTGACAGCATAGAAATAGAAAATATATCACTGAATATGCTCCAAAATGCAGTCAGGTAAGCCAGTACTGGAGGGATTTTTATCTATGTTCTGCCAAGATCCTATCAGCAATCCAGAGTCAGAGAAACAAGATTTATTTAACTATCCTCAGGTTGATTTAATAGACACTTCTCACTCATTTTCCTATTTATTTTTTAAACTGACTTTTGTGATAAAGCAATGGCTTTTTTTGTCTAAATGTAACTGTGTAGTTACACAGCTGTGTTGTTTAGAATTACAGGACTTTGCTCTTCTTTTTAAGTTAGGATGCATAACTGCTTCAGAGCAAGATGTAGCCAATAACGTACTACATGCATTTACAGTGTCCTCAGATAATCACAATATCCATATTTTGAATTAAAAGCAAACAATGCAGTCTAACAGTCAAAGACAAGCAGACAAGGCTGCGGATCCATTTCAGTGAGCCATTGTGAGTCTTAGACAGAAAGGACATTTTGTAATTGTCTGCAAGTATCAAATGTTAAAAAGCATTTCAATAAGGTAATAAATGTATGACTTCTTTTTATATCATTTATAAAGAAAATGAGCCAAAGAAAAATGGGGTTTATTATCTCATTTTGCTTTGGCAGTGACATTACTGGAGGAGAGCACAGGTGCCATTTATGGGAAACACAACCTCTGATAACACGTTTTATGGCTTTTGATTTTAGACTCCCATTCATGAGCATGCATAACGTTTTGAGGTATTATTTTTTTACACCAATAAAAAACTCAATGTAAGATTTTATGTGTGGCATTTTGTCACATGAATGGTGAAATGTTAAAATAAGAGCAGCTGAAACATATACCACATACTTCATTATCTCCTGTGAAATGAATATCTGGATAATTGGAAAAGCAAAAATCTTTGTTATAAGGATTTATGAATTGAATAAAACTACCTCCTGCCACATGAATTTCTGTGAGACTGAGATTTTCTTTTTTGCTGCAAAACATCAGGAATTATGAAGTGTATCCTAAGATATTTCTTTTAAGAATGACACTTTTTTTCCTATTTTTTTTAACATGGAAACTCCCTTTCCATCCTCTCTTGCCTTCCAGGTTATTAATGTTTAGTTTAAAATACTCTCAAAATCTCAAATCCAACTTCTCTGTCAGTTCTTAAATGAGCCTCCTTTTCATATAATTGAATTAGTAACCCTGTTTGCCAGAACCTTTATCCAGTATTATCTAGTACAAAATATTCAATGTGGACTTTACCTTCGGAAGTCTGCACCTGTAACTGAAACTTGCCCTTCGACTATAAGAAAGAAGTTTTAAAGAGTGAGAAAAAGTACAAAAATTAAGCTTACTCCAGAGAAAAGTGGGGAAATTTAGCATGGATAGTTCAGAGAAAAAACACAAGTGGTCAGGCATTTCAAAATAGTAGAAAGGCTCTTTAAAGTGCTCTGATTGTACCTCAGTATTCAGTTAGGATGAGAATTTAAGGACGGCTGCATTGACCATGATTAGGGGGTTTGAGGGGTATATTCAGGTTAGTTAGAAATGCAGACTTGCCATAGGACCTCAAGTGAGCCACTTTATCACTCCATTTTCAGCTTTAAAATGAAAATATTAATATTTTCTTTCTCTTGATATTTATTGGGAAGCTTAGTGCTAGACAGGCTAGTCTACGGATCACGAATATTGAGTACAAAGTTTTACACATAATCTAATTATCTGACATTTTCAGTCTAAACTTAAAATAGTAAACTATGTTAGCTCTGGGCCCTGGAAGAAAATAGCTCTCAACAATATGAAACCACTGGAATGTGTGAAACACCAAAGATACCTATTTTTGGGGTGCGTAACCCTCACTCTATTGCTGCTCCTGCTCTTCCTGTGGTTTCCAGTTCATGATGATAAAGGACCTGACAGTCTGATGTTATGGTCATGCTTATGCAGTTCACTTTTGTCAGTGTATCAGCCAACAGCATAGACAAACCACCTGCCTGTGAGTGATAATGAATTCTGTTGCTTCTTCCGTGTTCTAAGGACAAGTCAGCATTTACACTACCCAAGATCATGTCACGTTTACTCTACCTCTGGTCCTCGTAGGCATTTTTCTCTGAATGTCAACAGGGCAAGTCATGCAGTTGCTTTTCTTTTTCACTGCATTTACACAAATGTTACCCTTGTTTCACACTATGGCATAAGCAAGAGCTCCTTCAGCTTAGCATAAATAAATTTAGATACAGGACACAACAGTGGCACTGCAGAAATAAAGGCTGCACAGAGAGAGAAAGGAGAGAGTATTATTTACTCTTTGCTAGTCTTTCCTAACACAATACATCTCTGAAACCCAGAGGTCATTTTTTGTGAATGTAACGAATACATTCATATCCACCAAGGGTAATAAATATTACAAATTAAGCTGAATAATGACTGCACTGTCTATTTCATTTCTATATGAGAGGCACACATGGGACTTAATGTAAGACAGTATTTATAATGCGATATATGGTATGAGTCTCATTCAAAGTTAGAACTGCAGAAATGCCACAAACACATAAATTTACTGTTACTGCCTGAGGAACAAGTGGAAAAACAAAATCACTGCAAACAACCAATGTGCGTGGAATTCATAATGAATATCTACATTTTTAAAGTTACGACTTTTTTTTCTTGTAAGAAGATCTTGGCATTTAAAAGGCTGAAGGAGAAAGGTAATGCAGTAAAGCAATTACTAGAAAAATGCTATTTGCCATGTTTTTAACTGGATTGATTGTTTCAAATGTACTCTAGCTCACACGAGCCTTCAAAATATTTCTAGAAGTAACAACCAGGGAATCAAAAATAGAATCACAACTTTTTGTGAAGAATGGATGACAGGAGGGAAAAAAAGGCACTCGTTGCCATAAATAAGCATAAATAAATGTAATCTAAAATGAGTTCTGGGCTGCTGGCATGTAAACAAATGAGCATACAATGTATACTACTTGAGTTTCTAAGATTTTTGGTGACACAAATGGAGCACATAAAAATTACAGCTCTACTGTTCCAACCAGCTATTTATGTGAAGTAGGTTTGTGACAGGATGTTTTACTTCAGATTCTTGTGGAGGTGAAGAAGAATGAAAAAGTAACAGCTTCAGTTGTTATAATAGCAAATTAACTCTGGAGACAAGAATATGATAATTAATAAAAAAATAGAGGAAGTAATATGTTTACAAAAGATCTTATTTATCACATCAAACTAACCCGGGGTTCATTTCATTTCCTTCCAGTGGGAATTTTGGTAGGCTACCAAGTCCACAGATACATACTTTGAGTTTTAGGTTCCTGCCATGTTATCCAAAAATACTGAAGAGGGCCTAAGATTCCGTAATTGGGTAGTTCTTGTTTTAGGAAGTTAAAAGTCATATTTTCTGCTCACCCAATTTCCACTCCCAAAATGTTAGCAGTTCTTTGAGGACGGTAGATGTCCAGCAAAAGTAGTATGTCTTGTTGGAGCCCAGCACACCTCCAAGAACAGAGCTATCTATGTTTGGACAACAGCACTGAAGCAGTAGGAACCAGAAAACATCCTGTCATTTTTTTTTTCTTTGATAATATTTACCCTTTACTAAATTTTTGTTCTGATTATCTTTTTCAGGTCCATGATGGTAGATTATTTGCACAGTTAGAAACACGGTAAACAATCCAGATTCTGGAGCTGGTATTAGTGTTCTCTTTCCTAAATCCCTAATTATTTTTATTCCTGGCCCAAGGTGTCTTGTTCCACAATTTCAGTGGGAAAAAACCTGTGTCTAGGAAATACATTTCACTGTATCCACCATGAAAAAAGCTATCATGGAAATGGGAGTTATATTGAAAGAGTAACCAGAAACCTGAGGAAGGCTTTTCTGTTTGTAAAAGATCTTGCTGTGTTAATGTCACTAGCAGAAGTCATCCTAAGGCCTGGAACATGTGAGAAGACCCAGCAACCCATTTCATTGTAAGAGATGTGTGGCTGTGTCCAGCATAGCTTAGAAAGATATCACTGCAAGTGCCACATTGGAGTCACCATTACTGCTCTTTTCTTTACAGACAAATCTACTCTGGTGTAAAACATCTCCAGGAGGAGTTTTTTGAAGCAGTTATGTGTAAACCAATATAGAAAGTAGGAAATGCTACTATATTGGAGTAATTCACATATATGCTCCAATTAGATCCTTCACACCAGTTCAAGAGTTAAAAGTCGAAAAATTTCCCCTTTAGAATGACAGCAAGTGGCTTTTTGCATCTTTATGCACCTGCAATGCACGCTTTTAAACTCAGGAGCGTTTTTAGCATGTTTTTAATACATCCCTGCCTCTGGGTCTTTCTGTGTTCTTAAGCAGGAACACCAGAACACTGTTGCTCCACGATGCAATCAGTGTCCTGGGTCCATTCCTCTGGCAAGTTATAGCAGACTTCCCTTTCAGGGAAACTTATAGTGTATTTGGATTGGATTGGATTTGGACTGGATTTTTTTAAAAAGCAGGTATACAGACCTGTATTCAAGTACATACATGTGTGTATATATAACATATATACATATAATATATATATTACATATATTTATTTTATATATTTATTTTATAAATATGCATATTTATAGCTTTGGATGATCGCCTTTATTTGAAGAATTCTGGGCCATACAGAGAAGTGAGCCAGCATCTGTTAAAGACGTTCTCTCCAGCAACTTTGGTTATCAAGGCTTGTCAGAGTTTCAGTGCTTTCCCAACCATAAAGGCATGTACAGTCAATCTTCTTGGAACCCGGGGCGTGAGAGTTAATGAAATTTGACAGCTGATTGATGTCAGATGCAGCACTGAATTTGGAAACCCAATTACCTCCTTC